AAAGAATTTAAGTTATTACTTAATATTGGATGGGAGAAGGATCCGACTGGGGCAAATTCTACTGGAATCTGAAGGTTATTTATATTACGGTTCTTTTCTATATGTTACTCGGGCCACACACCTCACGCAACCAAGGGACAGGGCTAACCTTTACGCTGGTAGGTTGTCCTGGAATCAGCTCCGGATATGGTAAGGTCACAATGGTGCTTTCCAAATAGCGACGGACTCCAGGATCCAAGTCTCCGGCTAATATCCTCGGTACCTCAGGGAGGAGCCAGGGTACCTTCCTCAAAAATCCGAGATTCGGATTGGATATTCGACTTGGCCCCCTTTTGTCCCATTGGCTACCTTTTTGGTGTTTTGGTGTTGGTCCCGACTTAATTTATTTAAAGTCATCACGATGGTGTGACTTTCTCATTATCTTAATGGGTTTGGTTTTATGTGTTTGTCCCAGTCGGTTACAGGGTTGTCCCAGGGTACCTTCCTCCAAAATCCGAGATTCGGATTGGATATTCGACTTGGCCCCCTTTTGTCCCATTGGCTACCTTTTTGGTGTTGGTCCCGACTTAATTTATTTAAAGTCATCACGATGGTGTGACTTTCTCATTATCTTAATGGGTTTGGTTTTATGTGTTTGCCCCAGTCGGTTACAGGGTTGTCCCATCCTTACACTGATAACATTCCATCATTCTTACTTTATACTGAGTATTAGACAAAATCAGATATTTTTCCTTAATTCCTTATAATATGGTCAGTAATTAAGTCATCAAGTCAGATTGAAAGAATCAGAACAATTTCCTTCAATATGCAATATTAGGATTAACAATATACCACATGAAAGCCAATTTTTTAAAGGTTATTTTAAAAATTAACACTGTTTCATTTCATTACAACAGACCATTAGGAAGGGAAGAGAAAGGTGGGGAAAATATTAGAGTAGAAAACGATGAGATTCCTGCAACTCTCTTTTTAACACCTCAGGAGGAGTACACAGTATTTTTCCTCCTTCCTCTTCTTTTGTTAAGTTTTTCCCTTTTTAATCACCGTAAAAGTCAAGGGGACAAAGAGTTCTTCCAGGTAGGCCTAGGAGGCGAAAAGGGTGGAAGACCCCGTTCTTCACATGCGTTTGCCTAAATGATAGGTATGTTTAGCATGTTCTCTCGATAGAATTTACTCACAACATTCATAGAGCATGTTAATTAACTAGGAAAAGGTAACTAAATCCATTCCTAAATGTTGCGAAAGATGAGTTGCTTCACTCGTGCAGCTGAACGGGACAAGCGATGGCAAATACTTGGTCGGCACCGGCAGAAATGGGCCAGAAGACTTCGCTGACATCAAGCTCTTTCAAGGGTTTCCATATATCGAGAAGTTACCATGGGGGACAGACGAGTGCAACATGATTAATGGCACTAGCGGCATGGTATTTCCTCCCTTCATAGACGAAAGCTCCGTCTTATTCATCTTCAGTGCGGAATTGTGCAGGTGAATGAATCGACGGCTCACAGAATGTTCAGCGCATCAAATTGATGCGTTTTTGTCGTGAAAAGATCTGTCATCCATATGATGAGTCTTTAATCATCAAATCGCATCAAATATTCGATGCGATTAAAATGCATCACTTGGAGGACAGATTTTTTTCACGACAAAAATACATCAATTTGATTCTGAGTGCGTGTGCCCGCATGTAATGCATCTCGGTCTCGTACTCATACCATAACCATTCTCCGCTGCCCTTCCTCTACCATGGGGGGGGGGGGGTTAGAATTCAATCCGAAGACAATTGGAGATCACTCGTCAGAACAGATCCGTATGTCGCCAACAGAAAGGGCACAAGTTTCGATCCATATACAGGGTGTCCCATAAGTCACTTCACCATTTCAATTTGCAATATTTTCCAAACTGCAACAAGCATGTCACTTGGCATTGATAGAAAGAATATCCTTCAGAACTTTTTTTCTCGATAATAACGGTATCAGACTTAAAAGGAAACTGTTTCGAATGTGAATCTTTGTTTCTAGCCACTGTCGGATGTATAGCAAAGTTATACTCAAGAAAAACGCCTCTTTAACGTTCAACGAACGTCATACAAGAACGTCATGTATTGGTGATCAAACGGCACCTCAATTGAGCATCCAAAAGCTGCTCATCCCTGAACCTTGAACGTCAAAGAACCTCTTTGAGCCAGAGTTGAACGTCTTCCTGAACGTTCATGTGTTACTTGGGCAGTTGATGCTTATCCTCTTGGAAAAAAAATCGAATCGAATCAAGATGCGGAAATTGACCGAAGTGTATCATTTCGATTTACCGATTTCTCTGAATGTGTGTACAGTACAATCTCCAGGGAAGGCACACGCTTTGCAATTCAATGATTTTTCAACTCCCCAGGTCGGTGTACTTAACGTACGAGCAGGACGTGGAATTCCTGGGGGTACCAGGACTTCGATTCATCGTCGATCTTGACGTTCTCGAAGACCCAACAATTAACCTGGCCAATAAGTGCTTTTGTTTATCGGATGGAACATGCTTGAAAGCCGGAGTTTTGGACGTCTCCGCATGTCTCGGTAAGTCCAAAAGAACCGAGCACGTTAAAACCCTATTGAAGTACGTCTCTCGACCTTGTGCAGTCATATGTTGCCAATAATGTTTATATTCAGGTGTGCCAGTGGTGATGTCCGCGCCGCACTTCTACTCGGGCTCGGAAGAATACTACAACACATCGGTGATTGAGGGAATGGCACCGGATGAAAACAATCACCAGACTTTCATCGACATCGAGCCGGTGAGGACCTGCCTCTCATATACGTCTCACGTTCACGGTTCGGATTTGAGTTGTCAGATTTGACAACTTCCCAGATGTAAATCCTCATTGGACCTACGTATGGTACGAGGGGAGCTCGAAAAGTTCTTGAAATTAGAATTTTATTTACAGCATACACGGTGTTTCCGAAATGTTAATGCTGCAGTCCTTCGAAATATTCACCCTGTGATTGCACACAACGACCCAAGTGGTGAAGTCACTTCTGAAAGGCGTCGGCATATGCTTCTTTGGGTATCTTCCACAATTCTGAAAGAAAAGCTATGGACAGACCTCGAACGCGACTGAAATTTCTTCAAGCCAACTGTTCAACAAGGAAACAGACAGAAGTCACAAGGGGCTAGATCTGAGCTATACGAGCTATACGAGAAGCGAAGCTCGTGTTTCAGTTATAGGCACAGGACAAGGAAGGGTGCCGGCTCTTCTGCCTCGACCGAAAAGCCACTGGAGCGCTTATGCATATTTTTAAAAATGTTTTTTATTGCCATGGCATTAAAGAAATATTTGCAGATGAATCATATCTTAGCAGGCGAACCATGATCCACGCAGTCATGATTGTTTGTTTTTCAAGGGTGTGATCCTACACGATTCTTACACTTTTTTTTCCCACGGAAGGTTCATGGCTTTTCGTTACTCTTTTTCATTGCGTTCATCACGAATGCAATATCATTGATTATCGTGAATTATTTTGGAGATGCTCATGCTTATCGTCTGTTTCCTCTTGTAGTTGACCGGGATTATCTTGAATGCCGCCAAGAAACTCCAAGTGAACCTCAATTTGAAACCGATCGACAATTACCCAAGTTTCCAGAATGTGTCACAGATGATTTTCCCGATATTCTGGGTCAATGAGGTATTCATCCCGGCTTTTATCTCTGAGCAACATATTGATGATTCCCGATTGTACGATCAAATTAATTGTCTTTCGCCCAAGAAGCCAGCAAAGTTTTTTCGCTTAAAACTAAATATCACGCGGTTGATATTATGAGCACTTTATCGCCTGGAACTTCTTTTTGAAGCTCTCCGCGAATTTCGAATGCCAGCAAATTCTACCCCGACAGCTTCGAGAAGAAATCACAGAACCCGAAGTAACAGCGTCCCATTCGTTTCAGAGCGCATCCCTGAGCCAGGAGTTGGCCGACGACCTCTACAACAAGGTGATCATGCCTCAAAGAGCAGTCGCAATCGGATCGTGGGTTGCCGTCGGCGTCGGACTCTTCACTCTATTGGTGGTTGGAGCCGTCGCCCTACGAGAATACCGGAGGAAGGGATTCCGTCCCTTCTAGGGAGAAGAGTCAATCTGCCAGAGTTGCTCGTTGCGTCAGCGCAAAGTTACCACATGGTGAATTGTACAAAAAAAATATATCGAGAAATTTATAATGATTACGCATCCGTACAAACTGCGCAAAGAAATTCGGGTGAAATTGCTGCCATTTTCAGTTAACTGTTAACTTCACAAGCATAAATACTGTTTGTTTTTCTTCCGACGTGGTTCCCGGCACACGATGGGTGAGGACGAGTGGAGTGACACAAGCAATGTGGGATCATCCGGGGAGTCCATTTATGATCGTCATTGTGATGTTCGCATACGTGTTGTATGCTTTTAGTGCTGTGATAACATCTATGACTGTTTTTCGCCGTAGACGGTCAATGTTGTTAATAAATAAATAAATATCGTAACACCAAGTGTTTTAGTTACGAGGTGAAAAGTCGGGGCAGAACCCAGTGAAAGAAATAACATGTGAAAATTTGATCGGAGTTCGGATTAAATGTACAAAATAGTCTCACACCGCATCAAAACTTCAATCGAAATTCTGTATTTTTTTTTTACCACAGAAAAGCTGAAAACCATTCTAGTGAGTTGGAATATTTACTTTCTTGGACGCAATAGTTATCGTGATCTGAAAAAGAGCAAGAAATCTATCAGCGACAGATTCATGGGATTAATGAGTCAACACATGTATAGTATATATACATTAATTAAATATATTGGCTAAATAGGCAACTACTTGGCTGTGCAGTAAACTGGCCTCAACCAAGGCACGGAGAGAGAGCAAAATATGTTACTTTTTTATGCCGATTCTGGCCGAAAACATCCAAGGGCAGCAGAAATGTCCAGCTTCTTAACCCAGAAACACAGAACAGAGAGACCAAAATCTAAAGGCCAAATCACTGTAAATAGCTCGCAGGGTTGGGGCTAAGCTCAAGGAAGTCAAAAAGAGAAAGGACAACGAAGGATCCCATCCTAGGAAAATTATCAAGCAGTAGGTGGGTTGAGGCAGCAAGTCTGACTGAACAAACACTATTCAGAATTGTTTCTGCCGTCAGGTGCTACGGCTGCAGATTTAAGTAGTAGGGCAGTACCTAATTTCCCAGAAGCAATCCCGGCTTAAGTCCATCTGTCAGTGCCACAGTTTAACGATCGATTAGCTCGACCCGTCTCACGACTGGAATGCATGGTAGACTCAAGCCTATGGAAGAAACGAAGCAAGAGCATGACCATAGAGTAGAGAGTATAACTAGAAGCGACACTCCGCTCGAATCCCATTTATAGACAGGGTCGCAATATAGAAGTCACTGTCGATTCTCCACCTAACGTGCGCACGTTAACAACTCCTTCATGGCTGAGCAGCGGACTCAACGAACGAGACTCGCGCGTTAAGTTGATGGATTCTTTGGGTCGAAACCCGGAATGAGTCGATTCCTGATTCTGCTCCCACAAAGCACGCCACATGGAAGTGTTGCTGATAACAAGCCACCAGATGTCTCTGTAATATTTCGACCTCCCCTACCCCCCACGGAGTGTCGCCTCTAGTTACACTCTCTACTCTATGGCATTACTTGGAATGACCCAAGCCTATGAAAGAAATGGAAAAGAAGGCAAAGCTAGGTGTGACACAATCCTATGAAAGAAGATGTGTTGCCTAGGGAGAGGCCCTACCATGCATTCAGTTAACTGTGTCCTGCACTAACAGATCGGAGCGATTCCCAGGTTGCCTTAGCTTCAGGCCTTGACCTCGAGGCACATTAGGCCAATAACACCCGAGACAACCCCGACAAACTGGATAAGCTAGTCTCTAGGACAGTGATGAGCAACTTCTTCTGACTGCGGGCCGCAAGTTTATGTTTAATTTATTGCTTCCGTTTCTCCTGCAGTGGACAATGGAATCCTTGAACTCACATGCGCTCTGCTCCGGATGGTAGGTGACAGGAAAAAGAAAATTTCAGTTAACAAAGCCCCGCGGGCCGCACACTAAGACCTCGCGGGCCACATGCGGCCCGCGGGCCGCGGGTTGCTTATCACTGCTCTAGGACGTATAATACGACGGTATGGGAAAGAGCCCAATCACTGGAACATGTTCAAATGCTCCGGGTCTGCGTTGCAGTCACATCAACACTGCAAGAGCCGCCCCAGATAACATTTTTCATGGGGCCCACATTGGCACAACGTGGTTCTCCAGCGTCAGGATACGTTGGCCCGTTGGTTATTCACGTAGGCCCCACGTGAAAGGATTACTTCCACGTGGGGCCTACGTGACATTAAGTTGGATCGCCACGGATAACCCACTTACCCAAGTAGCTGGTTTTTGCTCTATATAGGCCCTCATTTCAAATCATATACCGTATTTACTCCAGTATAGTGCGCCACCGTGTATAAGACGCACCCCCGCTTTTGAGGTCCCAATTTGTGTAAAAAAAGATTCCCCGCGTATAAGGCGCACCCCCCTATTTTGTAGCGAAAAGTGTCGGACAAGGGAGATGAATAAAGGGTAAAGCCTGTCTTGAGGTAGGTCGAACCTCGTTTCTTATTCACTGTCCTGACGT